TTTCCAAGAAGCTGGAACGGTCTAGATAATTGAAGCAGGGGGAATACCTGTTTCAAGAGTCCTCTATCTCTGTAGGAATAGGTAAAATATTCAGGCAGAAAACTGATAGTGCTAGGTCTGATTGCTGCTCCTTTGTGTTGTGCTAATTATCTTTTACAATTATCTCTATACAAGCTTGCAAACTCTGTGTGATTTCACCTATTACCCATTCTTTAAGTTGGGCATGAAGATATTCATTTTCTTTATAATATTGTAGTCTGTAATATCAAATTGCAACTTCTCCAAGAGAAAATGCACCATTTGCAATAGATTAGAGCCATAATATGTCTGCCAGGAGCATTACATTTTCTTTCGTAATTTTTTTAAGTTGCCAGTTATTTCATTGTGATCTGAGCAGCTTTATAATTTATCTTTATCAACATTGACTATTTACATCTTAATAGCAAAAGTTAAAAAGGGGTTTGACAGTTTACTTGTCTTTTTAAATAAGATTTAATTAATCTATCACCAAAGGAAGGAAGAGGTGCATCATCTAATCACATGCATCTACAATACATGGCCAGGAGACTGCACTATTGAAATTATTTTGGTTTTTTGCACTTTTTCCTTTCAATCTCCAGAAAAACAGCACAGATAGTTACAGCCTTATCTCACACACCAATGTTAGGGGGAGCATGTCAAGACTCAGAGGGCTTCACTGTTAGGAAATTTGGGACTCCCACCCTTCCACCACATAGGTTTAGCCATTCAACTACAGCAGTATGCTAAGGGATGGGTTTACTGAAATCAGGATATTGGGAATTTGACTATTCAGCCATTGGGGCTTAATAATATTTCAAATAAATACATGTTTGTTTCATACATCAGGTTTAGCCATTATGGGACTCAATATGGGATATTGTGCGAACCTGGCCTATGAGTTATTCCTATTATGTGAGTATTTCCACTGCTAACTCCTTAAGTTTTTGTTCTTATAACTAGATGGGGAAAGGATGTGGTAATAATTAATTTGGCCTTTTAAAAAAACTGGCACATCTCATGTACCAGGTAGGTAACTCTTTTTGACTTCATTATTTTATTTAGTTTTTAGGCCTCCAAGGACTGGAAGAAGGACAACTAGGAATATGGACTAAAATAACTTTTGGGGCACATATTTGGAGGTCAAGAAGGATCTTTCAAATCTATTTTATACCCCCCCCCCCATAATAAAAATTGCATGGTTGAAAACAAATTCTAGTGGTGTAATGGAGGGGTGGCATAAAAATATTACAGTATATGAAATAACTTCTTACTAATTTCGATCAGGACATACACGCTCCTAAAGGCTTTTCTAATTCCATTTCCAGGAAAGATTGAAGAATTATATATGCAATTTTTACTAGCAGATAAGGACCCCAAGGTAACTCTTGCTGCTGAAAAGTTTGTTTTCGCAGCTTGTAAAATTTGTATATTGCTGACAGCAAAATAGTGCAGGTATAAGTGCTATGAAGTACAGGCGGGTGCAGTGGGAACACACTGAGTATGGGTGGGCTGGTGGGCACTACAGAGTACGGGCAGGTGGGTGCCGTGGGTGGGTACTACGGAGTATGAAATTCCCATACCACCTTGGGGCTCCTCAGGAGAAAAAGTGGCAGGAGTGACTTCCTGCCTGCTTCCCCACTGACTTTACTTGTGGGAAGCTGGCAGGGAAAGTCACAAATGGCAATCACGTGACTGTGAGATGCTGCAACTATCGAAATTGCAAGCCAGTTGCCAAGTGCCCAAATCACAATCTGATGACCATGGGGATGATGCAACAGCCTCAACTTCAAGGACCAGTCGTAAGTCCCCCTTGTTCAGTGCCATTGTAACTTTGAACAGTCACTAAACAAGTGGTCATAACCTGAGGGCTACCTGTACTTCAGTCTCCAAACACTTTATTATGGGTTTACAAAGCCAGGTCAAGCACACATGGACTTGTTCAGTAACATTCCACGGGCAAGACGCCAAAGCACAGGAAACAGGGTGTATTTATAATCAAGCAACATGGAAATACCAGATTATAAATGGGATTGGTTACAAATTTATAAAAAGACAAAATTTTAAAATAGACCTGAATTGCTATGCTGTATCTGCTAAATGTACAGTCGGGCAAAAAAGTATTTAGTCAGCCACCAATTGTGCAAGTTCTCCCACTTAAAAAGATGAGAGAGG